TTGTGGTGCTATCCAAGCTCATTGTTGTTGGGAAGTACCTACCAAGGCAATTTGGGCTCCTATCATGGGATTACATCCGATGGTGGTTTGTGGACAGACTGGTGGAAGTCTGGGAGTCTATTGTTGGAAAATTCCTTCTAGAAACCAAGTTCATTTGGATCATCTACTGGCTGCTTGGTGCTGACTTGGCCTGGTCTGCCAAGATTGAATCCTATATTCGTGAATTTGACCTGGTAAAGGTGGGCAGCATTGCAACGATTGCACATCCTTTGAAGTGCAGAAAGTTCTCCCAATCAAGTGAGGAGGAAAGCCCCAAAATGATATTCTATCCCATTGTTGTTGGAAAGAACTGCAAGGTCTCTGGCATGATTGGCCCAGGGGCCCAGATTGGAGATGGCAGCAAGGTGGAGAAACTCTCTGCCGTTGAAGAGGGGGCCTTAGTACCAAATGCTGTGGTTGCCAGGGGGAGCCCAGCTTATAACGCTGGCCCGTTTGAGCACAAAGAATCAATCTACTGGGCTGACTCACTGTTGAGTGTCTTCAAGATGGTCTGGGCCATCTCTGAGGCATACCACTTTTTTGCACTCTCCTCCCTGGTCCATTTTACACTCAACAGAATCTTGCCCTCGTGGCGATATGGTGGCGTTCTTCATTGGTTTCTCTTGTTTCCATTGACATCCTTCCTTGCGCTCCTCACAAGCATTGCCCTCAAATGGCTTCTTATTGGTAAGCGAGATCCATCAGATGAATATGAAGGTTCATACTACCGGCGGGCAACAAATTGGGCTTGCGACTACCACTTCCATATAGCTGCTTGGGCTCTTATCCCTTTCTTTGGGCAGTCCAAGTTGTGGCATTTCATCCTTTTCCTCCATGGCCTTGACGCTGATATGACATCTACCCTCAGCCACCCATACACAGTCTTCTTCCCCTCCAAAGTTGACTTTGTGAAGATTCGGTGTTCTTTTGTTCCCTCCAGCAGTCTCGACCTCGGCACAAAAGCAGACTCCAAGATTGAAATCATCAACAGCAGTATTGGGTACAATTCCAATCTTCATGCAGGAGTCAAGATAATGAAATCGATGATCCCACCAAGGTCCAATGTTTCTGATAGTGTCTGCGATTGGAATCATTCAGACACGTCACGGACGGTCAGCAGTCTTACCTTGCTTCTTCCAGAAGTAGAACAGCAACTGCTGAATACGGTCCTTTTCTTCAGCATTATCCCCTCCTATGAGATTGGTCTTGCTGCCACAAAAATTTCCTCCTTGACTATTGTTGTATTGGGTTTGGCTTTGGCTGTCACAGTACAACTATTTGTTTGGATTCTTTTGACCCATGCAGTTGAGAAGATCTTATTGATTCTGCCACACTATGCTCAGCAGGGCTTCTTTGGTATCTACATCAACCATGTAAGGCAATTTCGCGCAGGGAATTGGCTTTGGATGGTTCTCTATGGCACACCCATGTTTGCCTGCTGTGCTCGATTCATGGGAGCTGAGGTTGATGGTGACCTCTGGTACTTTGGCACTTCTCTCTATGAGTATGGTAAACTTCACTTCAAAGGCAGCGTGATTGTGGACAACTCCCATGTTAGTGGACACTACATTGACCGCAATGGGCTCGCCATTGATGACACCTATGTGTCTGGACTGTTGCTTCCAGGATGCTATGCCTCAGCTGGAGCAGAAGTGTTTGGCCCAGAAAATGGTCCGTGGAAAGTATTCCTCAGGAGTGACTGCAACAAAGATCCTGTGGATGTTGAGTTGGGGAGTAACGCTACTTCTTCAGTAATAATTGAGGCCTGAAGTGCCAGTGGTGCACCCATTCGAGCTTTATTCAGCTGGCTGATGTTTTTGTGATGCACCGCAAAAGCTAACCATGACATTTTATTAGAAATGTGGCCAAGCGGATAGTGTTCTACTTCCTTAGGTTCGTTTCTACCTGCATACCTAGCTCCTACATCCTATGTGTGTATATGTGGCTTGTTTACACCTTGCACAGTACGACAGGATGTAAAGGGGGTCTGCGAGTTTGTGGGGTGAGAATGGATTCCAGCCACGGTTGTGTGGACTCGAAGTGCAGCGGGGCAGCACGAGCGCAATCACAACCAGGATCGAGCAGACCAACAGACAGAGGTATTAGGGGCAGAAGAAGATTCTATCCAACGGGGCCAGTGAAAGGGGGTGGGGGAGACGACACAGACTAGTCGTAGAGACCACGAAGAGCGCCACGATCGTCCCAAGAATGCCGCCCGGCAGCGAGCTCATCGTATCGCAGGAACACGAGAACCCAGGGAGGTACCGGTACATCGGGTACCAGAAGGCCATTCATTCGGGAGTTGGTTCCAAGAAATAATGGACTACCAGCTACACAAACAGGGTAACCATGGGGCTGATCAGCTGGACCTTTTCGTTGGACTAGGGCGGGTGGGCGGGTACCATAGGTCTCGGCGGGGTGGTGGCCCCACGTAGCGGTACATACACTAACACCATCAAATCGGGCAAACCAGACCTCGGGTTCCGTCTTTAAAAACAGCTGGCAAGGTGATTACCGCACCTTTCATCTTGCATTTTTCGCGTCGAACATTGTCATCGTCACCATGACAAACAACGGGATGCTTCTTGCGGATGTTGGCTGCAACACCTCCGCGTCGAGAGGCTGGGCTACTGTACTGCAGCTAGACTCTTGTTTACAAGGAGAACTATCCGTCAGATTGATCATGCATGTTGGGCGAGCGCGATTGTGACCAGATGAACGATGATGATCGCGCAAGGAAGCTATCTACGAGCTCGCAAAGAAGCAATCTGTAGCTGTGGATACCGCGACTCCACAGTCTACAATGAAAGAAATCATCCAAATCAAGACGGAAACCACAAACAACCATGACGAAACCGGTAATCTGGCAATGTTTCAGGCAGTACCGGTAGCCGTCATGGAACAAGGAGGGGCTTGGAGTGCTCGTTGGGCACAGAAAAATAACAATACGTACACAGTGTACCGCTGATGGTTTGAACATGGACGGATTCTTTGCAAAATGGGCACAAGCAACAACGACAATACTCCCTTCCAAACCAAGATTCAAAACGACAAGGTTACTGAACGAGGATCCGTCGAACCACTCGATTGGCTGGTCAGATGGTCATGATGTACGGTGCGTACACGCACATGATGAATGCATTTTGGTCCGATGCACAGTACCGCCGTGTACAAGCACATGCTTCACGCGGCCATGCGGTTGCATCTCGTCCACCAGCCACCCCCCCGAATTCTACACGGCCGCTCCATATGTTGCTATTGTCTCCGGTACATTGCTTCCACCTTTCGATAGCACGTAGTACGGTACCGGTACGTATGTGGCTAGCTTGTAGAAAAATCGTAGTATTATCCTTCGAGTCTAGCTACGGTAGAGCAAGTGTGGAGACCATCGTTTGGCACCCAGATTGGAGTCGCCGAACGCTGAGTCGAACTGTACTTTACTCCAATCTACTATTGCCGTGGGAGGAGCGAGATTGAGAGACAACCGCCTCCACCGGTATCTACCTCCTAGAGCCATGAGCAAGGATTCGTCACCGAGCTTCCATCGTAGGCCCCACCTGTGATACATGTTACGGAGGATTGTTAGAATTCGTAGGCAAAGGGGGTAATACCAGTAAGAACAGCCAGTCCGAATCCCTTCGGTATAGATAGCTTCCCTACCAGTGTTCTAAGAGCAGTCACTAAAAAATAGGTCGCACCCAATATTGGTCGATTGGTTTTTAGCTGGAACCCAAATCGAAACCTATTCAGTCACTAACTCATTTCGGTCGAGGTTTAGGTTGCGACCGAACTTTCTTATGAATTGTGCCCCAACCACTGTTACTGCTGCAGGAACTGCCACCGTTGCTAGTGGATTGACCAGCAACCGTGCTTCCCTGTCCCTGCTGGAGCTGGTATCACCCATCCACCTGATGTTAGTGCATCCAGTCTCCCAACAATATCAACATGAAGCTGGTGTCTAGTTTGTCAACAGGAACCTAGAGAATTAACAAATATTTTAGTTATTAGGTTTGAAAAAATTGTACGGTGATCAATGAACTCTCCAGGACCATCAACAGAGCTATCAAATAGCAAGTCTACGACGACTTGATCCGTCATTGCTCGCCTAGTTGCCCCAGAGGTGAGTTCGTCCCAATCTCTTCCTCTTTCAGCGAGCTCTTTGAGCTGCTACGGCTCATGCTACTTCTTCCATGGGATATCCTTGTTGGCAGGTATTGCTATGCCTGTTTCTATGCCTGTTGCTATGCCTGTTGATGAGGCTTTTGTGTGTTGATGTGGCTACAACCAAAACAGCGACCTGGTCGATCCACTGGTCGCAAAGTGACCTGAATCGACCAGTGGAACGCCGGTCGATT